GCCCGTTACCCGTCTTGCCCTCTTGCAGGCCCCCCTCGTCAGCGTTGTACGTATTTTCCGGCTTTATCCGGGCCACCTCGGGGACCTGCAGGCGTGCCCACCACTCTTTTATTATAGTAGTAGTAGCGCCTTTAACCCGTGCAAGTTCCATGCGCCGTGTTCTCCCAGGACGGATCTCCGGATATCGGCCTAAAAAACCGCGTATCCAGTGTTTCCCTAGGGGCTGGGAGTCTCCCTGTTAAAGTAGGATCTTTTGCGCAAAAAAGCGGACTTTTGCGTGCGTCGGTGGGAGCCCCAGGGAGGCCTAAAAAAGCACCCAATTTGCTAAGCGCTTTTCCTGCTCCGGAGGTATCCGCTGATACGGTTTTTGTGCCTGTCGGCCGGGCAGGGATCCCGCTAGACGCCGGCGTAGGGTGGTCCTCGGTGTGACGGCCCAGGGCAGTTCACCGCACAGCGCAGGGATCCACGTGAGCACGCGCCGCGGAACAGCCCGTGCGACAAGACGCCGCACCACCTTTTCTTCTGCATCGCGTGTTCGGCGCTCCGCGCCTCTTTCCCTTTTCCCTCCCCATAGAAGAGTCTTTGTCCATAGCATCAATTGAACCTGGCTGCGAAGCCTACTCTTCCTGATCGTGACAAGGAAAACGCCCAAAACAACTTTAAAATGTGGGGGTGTTTTTAGGGTTTGGGAACGATGTGCCCTTTGAAATTTATGGGTATGAACGGGGTGTGACGATCTGGGTCAAGGCCCGCAGGCCTTGACCCACAGACGAGGACCCACATGAGGAACCATGATCAAGGCGCGCTGAACGCGCGCCGAACACCGGAATCCCCTCTTTCTTTCCTTTCTCCCCTAGATTAGAATCTTCGTTCGTAGCGCCAATTGACTGTGTTCTAGTTTCCGACCATGGCCGTAACACGGGGGTGGTTTTCAATGGAGTGAGGGGTGGCTTTAATGGAGTGAGGGGTGTTATGGCCCGGCAGGGACCTCCCAAAGATAACTAGAATTCAAGATTGTAGAATCTAAATGGGCCGCAGGCCCGGCAGGAGCGCTGAGCTAGAATAGCTGTGGGCGCGCGGGGTAGTCACGTGCAAGGCACGTGCAGCCCCGCCGCGGCTCAAAGCAAGGCACCATGCCATAATAAGGGGTGGTTTTTAACCGCACTTAGGATTTTCGGTTGCGTTAAGGAGGCAGGTAATCAGCCCACAATTACTGACCAGTGCCGGGTGTAGATTCCGTATGTCACGGTCCAACGTAGGCAACGAGGCAGGCTGCGATATCCGTAGGTTGAATTGGCTATCAAAAGGTAAAGAGAAGAAAGGGAAAAAGTTGTGCGTTGCACGGCGACAGCGGAATTGCCCAAATAGGCACGCGTTGGCCGTGCAACGCAGGCCCGTGCGTAGCACCTGGCAGGCAGCCAATTCGGGCTGCCGCGCCATGACACCGTAGCTCATGCCTGTGTGGCGCAACGTTCTCCAGACCACCCCGCCTTACCACGCCGCCCCACCCACTTTCGATCAGAATCCCTTGTTGACGTCGCAGTCATTTGAAAAATGGTTGCCCCACCGGTACAAGCGCAAAGACCAGCGTTGTGCTCTCTCCCGCGGAACGCAAAGCTTTCACGCGTTGAGGCTTAGGTTGAATGCTGACAAATAAAACTAGTGTCAGCTGCGTCCAATCAATTTTTAAAGCCGGGGATTTACGCCAAAAACCCGTCCGGCCTTCAGGTTAGACTCGAGGACGCTGGCGACATTTAGCTGCCTATTCGCTTAATGGAATCCAACCTTTCTGCGTGCACCAACGTCCCTCGGAGGCCTCCATAAGTGGATCCGGTGCAAAGATTACCCGGAGTCGATGAGGGGCAGGATGCGTCCGAATTCACCGTAGCGGGTGCCTGTTGGTAGCCTCGCTCGCGTCTGATTCAGAACTGGTAGGCTAATGCTCGGCAATCTTTCCACATGGAAACGACCCGCCGGCGCAGCCTTGCGTTTACATGGAGCTGAGAGAATTATTGGGCAAGAGGGGAAACTGGCTGTCCGCGAACAAATTGGGCTTTGCGCTGCTCCTGGCGCTGATGCAAAATGCAGGGTGAGGCGCTTCTTGGAATCGAGGCCTTTCAAACGTTCAAACCGACTTCTTGCCTCCTGTAGGGAATGAGTCAATAAGTTTAAAATCTGCTTTAGCACTTAAAGCTCTCCTTTCAGCATTTATGAGACGTGCGTAAGTATATACATTTTAATTCCTTCATGTCCTTTTTACGGGCTAGAATGTGTAAAATCCGGAGGTGGTCTAGGAATGCCAACTGTGTTTTCAACTCAAGTAATATCAGCAAAATCAACCCCAAAAGATAACTAACATGTCATGGTTAAATGGAAAAGAGGTCTCCAACAAAGGGGTCAAATTCACAGCATTAGGAATTTATTTTGTGCCTAATGGCAATAATCCCGCAAATCCCCACATCCAAGCCCACTCTATTAACAGGAACCAACACATATGTAATCTTTGCGAAAAACACTTCAAAAGGAAATTTAATCTCAGGCGACATCTTATACTGTAAGTACAACGTCGAGGATTAAGTCTCGTCCATGTTTGAAAATAAAGGCGCACCCTCTAACAAACGTCATGGTCAGCCACACAAAGATGTCTAAGCAACTATGCGGTATATGTAATAAAGAAAGAAGCAGTCGCCGAGACACATTTGAAAAGCACATCTTGACGCATATGAACGCGACGTCTAGTATTTACAACCAAAGAGCCGCCGAGTACTACAAGGCTGTTTTTGGGGTTGATTGGCTGAGTAACCCAGAGAGATCAGGTGAGATTAACCAGCCTCAAATCCAAGCCAGAACAGACATTACGTGAAGCAATTTTGAACAAATTTTCTTGCAGGCTTTTCTTCAAAGTAAATAATACACCTCTTGTTAAAAACCTGCTTAAAGTATAAGTTGTCCGACTTGTACCTCACGTTGAGCTTAGTACCTTGGTGCAAACGAGGCATGGCTGCGTCTGCCCAACAAGGCACGCCGCGCCATCATTGCAGGAATAGTAGTTTCCGGAGGACTTGGAGCCAATTTAAAGGCTAGGAATTCACCGCAACAGATAGCGGGTGGACTATGGATCGCACGGGGTTAGAATGGCTGCAAAAGGTCTTTCTCCCTAGCACCCGGTGTCATACTTTTTCAGCACCAAGAAGATTGTTCTGTATTCTCCCTTTCTTCATGCTCGTAGGGAGCAGCCTAGTGAGGCTTATATACATAAACGGGCTGGTGAGCCTCGGCGAAGCCGAGGCAGCATGAAGGCGAGGCCCTGTAGGCGAGGCCACGTATGCCGAAGCTGAGTAGACGAGGCCGCGTAGAGATGTGGGTCCTGTGGATGCCTGGAGTGAATACCTTGAGTTTGACACACCTCCTATCATATCCCCGCCGCCCCGGCGGAGGCCCTACAGGGCCGATTCCTAGGGGATACAACCTTTTGCAGCACTAGTTTATTAATCCCCATCTAGCTCTAACAGTTGGAAGCACAATTAGAGGCACAGTGTCACGGCAGTTCGACAAATGGAGACCCCTCCCACATAAGTAAAAAGCCAGGACAATCCAGACCAACGGTCTGGATTGCTTAGGGGTCTCTTATGCCCAACGCTGCGACCGAGACAAGGCTGCAGTGCACGCGAGAGCACGCCACGCCATAACACACAGCGGCATCGCAAAAAAAGGGCTGCACCGGATCCCAACGAGACCTTCGTCAATATCCGCCGGGTTGCAGCGCGAAGGGGTGCAATTGAGGAAATCAGCGATACTGCATCAGAAAGAGCAGAAGAGTTTGTTGGAAGAGCACCTCGTAGTCGCACAGGAACTGGCGTCCAAGGCCAGGAAAACTTTGGTCCGGAAGAATTCGCGCTCTAGGTCCGGGCTCCATACTGGAGCCGGACGGACAACACACCGGACCGTGCACGTGGCCGCGTGGCGGAGCGCCCCGAGCAACGCGTCCGCGTTTTGTTCTGCTCCCTCTATAAAGGGAGCAGAGGGCCGTTGTACGACCCTCGATATTTTCCATTGCTGTTACGGCGTGGGCATTTGAGCCCTTGACTTGTGCAGAATGTATGTGAATATTAAGCGGGGGAGGAGAAGCAAGGTTGAAGGAAAGGTGTGGCCGAAGGCCGCACTTTTATCCTGTCAATCCTTACTTATCTAATTTCCAGCGAATCGGCTATCAACTCTACCATTGGCGGCGCCGTGCCATAACAATTGCAACTAGAAGCCTTTCCCACCGAACCCTAGCGGGCTGTCGGTGAACAGAAGTTGATCGGGAATCAGTCCTTTCACGTATTCTAGCTAGTTGAACTGCCCTAGAAACTTCCAGTTGAATGCGCTGGTCCCATCTCGATCCGATTCATTTTGGGTGGCTGGACTGTCGGAGTGGCCGGACAGGGGGTGCACTAACTTGTTGCTACAATTCAAGCAAGCCCTTTGTGTAATTGTGCAATTACCGCCTGTCCGAATCACTAGGAGACTCTATCCCCTGCGTCCTCTCCGCTATGTCCTTGAAGTTCAGCTTCTCCCACCTCATACCGCACCCACAGAGAAAGATGACGGCACCCGCCGCAATAACTATGTAATACATCTGTCCAATAACCTTCGTGACGGCTTCGACCAAACGGCGCGCCATATCACTATCAGCTCCGCGCAAGATTGAGGACTCCAGGCCGGCCAGTGCCTGGCGGATGTCCTCATCCTTCAAGCTCTCCTTCAGGGCGTCGCCACCGGGCCCGCTTAGGATGGCATCGCGCACGTACCGGAATCCGACGTTTTGGAAGATGCAGCCGCCGACCGACGTAAAAAGCGCAACGCCGCCGAGCTGCGAGACTAAAAAGATGGTGATAAGGTTCGCCTCCAAGACAGGGTTGGCGCCGGCCCGGGCCTTAAATACGCTGGCGCCAGTCTGAAACACGGTGCCGACGCCCGTGCCGATGACGGCGAGCCGGCCCATGACGAGCGAGGTCGCGTCCTCGGCCACGACACGGCTCTGCAGCGCGGCGCCCACGAGGATCATGGCGCCGCCGAAAATGTAAAGCGGCTTGTACAAGCCCAGGTGCGGCAGCCCAAACAATGAAACCAGGAGGATGCCGACGAAGGGGCCGATGTAGGACATCAGGTCAACGGCCGACCGGACCGGGTCGGAGCCCTTGGCGAAGGCAAAAAAGAGCGGCGTGTAGTAGAGGCAGATGCCGTAGGCCGCGGTCGACATAGTAGTGGAGAGCGCGACGAGCCCGACGAGGCGGAGGTCGCACCAGAGAGCATCCAGCGGAAAGATGCGGTCCTCGGACGTCGTCCAGATGCATAGGGTCTGTTGCAGCGCGTACGCAATCAGGATGAGGCCCGTGAAGACCCAGGACAGGATGGCCGGGGTCGAGCTCCAAGCCCAGCGCGAGCCCGAGTAGATAAGACTGGAGCAGGCCATGATGAAAAAAGCCGTGTGCAGGACCCAGCCGACCCAGTCAACGTTGCCCCACCGGGCCGAAGGCCGTGGCATTACCAATTTCGGGAGGAATTTTCTCCACCCGAGAAGGAAGAGGGCAATAAAGGGAATGTTGATGTAAAAGGCCTGTGTGGGAAAACGGCATTGTTAGCCAAACCAGCATTTGGTGAAAAGCGAGCGCGAGACGTAAAATGACAAAAATTATTTTACCCATCGCCATGTCGCGTTCTGGTTACGTGCAAAGCTGCCGCCAACAATGGGACCTAAAAGTAGGCCGGTGGCGAAGCTCCCGCCGATTAAGGCCTGAAACCTTGAGGCTTCGGCGGCAGTAGTAGAGAAGACGAAGTTGTACAGCATAATCCTATTGCCAATGCATACTAATGTTAGCGTCGGATCCGCATTCTCTGCGAGGCAAGAATACATACCCATGGTAGAGCCCCGCACCACCGACGCCGGTAATGGCTCGGCCAATGATCACAGTATTCATGTTATTAGCGGCGCCCGAAAGGGCCGGGCCGAGGGCGAAAAAGAAGGTGTAAACGTAGAAATGGATTCTCATATTGCCGAAGTTGGAAAGCCGCCTACATAGCGGGGCGACGCATACGTTAACTGCCGTGTAGGCGATGGCGACCCAGGGGAGGAGCTCGACGTGCCCGAACTCCGAGTAAATGGACGCCTGGATGCTTGCCACGTTGCTCACGTCGTACCCCAAAATCAGGGCGCCGAGCACAAAGAAAGCCTGCAGCCGACGGGACAACTTAGCCCTCGGTTTTTCGTCTCCTATGCCGCCGCGACTCCCTGGGGCGCTGGCTATCGTCCCGGTAGTCCCCGTTTTGATAGGGGTATTACCCCTGTGCTGCCGCATTTCCATAACTGGCGGTTGTTCGTAGGTGCCTCGCTGAAGATACAATGGTTTGTAATATATCTCGTATCCTTGGAGGATTGCACCAACTGCAGTTGTTAATTGTGTTGGTTTGCAAAGTAAAGGTAGGATTGCGCTAGAACGGAGCCCTGGTACTCTTGGCTATACGAAGGCGCTCCTTGATACGATGTTTGTTGGCCTGTATGCTGCTGTTGGTGTGCGTTTAGAGTTTGGTTTCGTTGGTACGGCTCGTTTTGTCCGGCATGCTGCAGCACTTACCGATACGGTTAATACGTTTGCACCTAGCTTTTTGAGGGCTGTGGACGCCACGGATTCTATCCTTGATTATATCCCGGCCCCCGAGTCCAGTAGTGTGGTAGCAAAGACTGTTTTATATTGGTCTTATAGTTCTAACGCCAGATATGATTATAGATAAGCAAAAAGCTAAGCAGAAAACTGATTCTCCCTGTTTCGCTTTTGCATGAAGGATTAAAACTTAAGACGGGGCCGAAATGTCGGGGGTGACACGTTAAAAATGGCTTACAAGTACTCCTAGCGGCGCGGAAGCCTAGCAACCTATCCAAGATCTTAATGAAAGCACAAGTCCCTATTCGGCTGTCTTGCAGGTGGTGAGCTGAGTCATGGGTGTCTGGCGACCCGTGTCTTAACAAAATTTGCTGATAAAAGTAATCGCCATTTCCCAAGCACTCCTTTTTTGCCGTTGTATTGGAACAAGCTGGCATAATTACAGCCCCCGCAACTGGCAATTTTTGTGTTTCCCGCGTTATCATTTCCACTGCCGAAACGCATGATGTGGGTCGGTGTGCACAGACCATATTGCGTGGGATTTAGCTCACGGCACCCCGCCTGCCACCTCGTAAACGGATTCCTTTCTCTGCATCTGCAATGGACTGTTCACATCTAGAGCATGTACTGTGGTGCCCTAACATGGTATATAATTTTCACTCTCATCATTATTTACAAGACCTAGCTATAAGCAAACCTACCTACCAGTTCTACTGATTGAACTCAGTGCTTCCGCGAGAGCTACAATAATATAATGTCAGAAGACATTCATCTATACGCCAGTATATCACCTTACATGAGTATAACAACTGAGAATGCCTATGCTCTGAAAATATTTTTGAATCAACCAATCGACGATACCATGATAAGTTACCTTGCTACTACCATGTTTGAACTTCTTCCAGTTTTATCACTGGCAGATATGCAGATCACTACCCCCAGGTACATTCCACCTTTGAAGGAATTTATCTCTTCATTAGCGGCTCGTTCGAATTTAAAAGTTTCAACATTGATGAGTAG